CATATATATATATTATATATATATATATATGTATATATAATATATATATATATATATATATATATATATATATATATATATATATATGTACATATATATATACGTACATATATGCATATTTCAATAACCCATTAATCGACTAAGTGGCAATACTGAAAAAATGATATAACAAATGAAGAAAAAAAAACCTCTTTCGGTACCACTTCTAAATTCAAGCAATTGTTTGCGAATATTTTCTTCAAATGAATCACCATCATTTTCACGCTCCTCCTGTTCAAAACCATCATCAAAGTCAATAAAATCCGATCGCTGACCAAACGTCCGCGACATTTCTACCTGTAATGTAATTTCCGAATAAATTAATCCACAGATTGAGATAAGTATGATAAGGTCTAACAGATCATATTTTTTAAAATATCCGAATCATCTAGTAGAGCATATTTTTGATCAATCTTTGAATCGACAATTTGAAAGGATAACATCGGAGCTTCATCTAAATAATATTATTCTACTGAAAAATGAAATATACATAAAATATCTGATTATTTAATGTGCTAAGTTTTACAAAAATTAACACTTAGATGTTTATTTTTGTGTCTCATTATAACTAATTAAAGCTTATACGATGCTAATGGATGTATGTTTTGCGTTTCAAATATAAAAATAGGGGCATTTGTTTCAGTATTCCATTAAATCCATCAACATTCAAATAAAAGAGGTTAATTAAAGTTAGTTAACCACATTTCTTACGTAAATATACACGTCCAACACGCCTAATTAATACGAAAACCTTATGCTGACGTACACTAGGTCACGAGAAGTTCGCCCACACCTGAGCAAAACTTACCTCACACGACTGTCGCTCATTTTTGATGCGGCCCATCGTGAAATACCGACAAGGATGTCGATATTACGAAATTTGGGAGGACGTTTATTCATTTATTGTTTGTCATCAAATTTTATTACAAATAATATGTCTTCCCAATCTCTGTTGTTAGTGAAGTGTGATATTTCGTTAAATTCACTAATCCTCATTGCCTCTTCAATTACAATGCACTTTCCTCTCATATTTTCATCCCTTTTTCTACGTTGTTTTGATAAATATTCATAATCTTTGATTCTTTTCCATTGTACATTCCTTTCATCTCGTGATTAAATGTCAATAAGAGCAGCAAATAATTATTGAAGTGGAGAGAGAAATAAATGAATGTTTACGTTGTTGTTGTCTTGTTTACACTGCCTTCTCTTCATTTCTTTTCCATTATATATTCGTCATTTTTCCCCGTTATCTTTTCCAATTTTACTCTTTCTCTGTCGAATCATTTCAGGAAATTTTCAATTGTGCACTATTTATTTTATTAATTATTGTTGATTAAATCATAAATCAGTTAAATTTGTAGGTCTAAAAATTAATAAAATGTATGAACCTTAAAATAGTGGCAGAATTTATAATCATTGATATTTTTAATGCTTTAAATTGTGTTCGAAATTTTAGCAGCGTATTTAAAACGTTAAATTTGATTATTGGTCATATGCACTATAGCGCATAATCGGAAGAAATAAAAAACATTTATACATTTCATGCGATATAATTAGGATAAATAATTGGATATATTATTTTTTGATTTATTTATTTAAAATTATACTTATGTAGACAAAATTTGCTACGCTTTTATGGATTGTCAGTTGAATTATGCAAAATTTGTTAATCTGAATTCTGAAATTTATGCACTAAAATCATTCAAATTCATCCATATATGTATTCGTTTTTCTTTTTTTTCCTTTTTTTTTTTTTTTTTTTGTTTTTTCTTAAATTTTCAGCTGAATGTTCGAAGTTCATTAATCATTCAAGCTTTCATTTATTTTGTGCGATGTTTCCTCATCCATTCACTTATTTATTTGAATTTTCAACAAAATGTATATTTTCAAATTATCTCTTTTATTTTCTACCAAAACTTTCCTCATTATCCATTTTAATGGTGAAGAAAGGAGAAAAAACTTTTCTTATAATTTAAAGTAAAATATTTCTCAAATAATTTCATTTTTTTTTTTTTTTTCAAATTCAATATACTTGAAATATTATCCTCTTTTTTAACAGATACAAGTGCTGTTGTACTTGATAAGAGAAGAAAAGGAAAATTACCATTAGTATCGATTTTTCATTGTTCAAAATGAACTATAATGGAGTGACTAAAGGAAATGGTACACGATGCAATGGACAAAAATTTTCGCGCTTATTTTGGTATTAATTTAATTCTTAATTAACTTCCTTTATATACCAATTGATATATTGTTCAACTTTATTAAAAATCATTGAAGATAGCATAAGATTAAATGATTGGAAAATGGTGACAGGAAGGGAGAGATATGAATATTAAAAGATAAAAAAATAAAGTATAATAAGCTCTGTAGAATGATTATGTCGAAAATTTTGATTAGGTATTTCTATTTTTATGATTTATGGAGTTGGGGAAATAGATATTGTCAGGGTTAAGATTTATCGGAAGCTTGAACGTAATTTTCAGGACAGATAGACATTTCATGAGTTTGTTCCATCATCCATTACAACTTTTTTCTCCAAAAAAAAAGAAAAAGAAAAAAAAAGATTTATCAGTTTTGACGGGAAATGATGTTATGTGATTGCAAAATAATATTAATAAATAAATTAGGATTTATCGGCGATAGAAATATTATTTCAAGTTTCATTGAATTTATGATTTAAAAAAGGAAAAACAAAATTTTATTAGCTTCGTTTCGTTGTTTATATGTTGTAAATACATGATTATTGCACATTCACATATTTACGTTTAGCATTCACGTTATAGATCCATTTTCACGTCCATGTTATTCACATCATATAATGTGTCATTTATTTTTTCAATCACTAGATTATTGCCAGTCAGAGTTATCCTTTAACACTGAAACATTTCGGAAATGGAGTAGCGTATATTGTGGAAATGATAGCTTGAAAAGCTTGGGAATGATAGGTGAGAGTGATAAGCTTGATAGCCATAATGGAATAGAAAAAGATAAGCAAGAAAATGGTGTATAAAAATTTATTCATTATAACTAAAAGGTGTAGTAAAAGGTAATATTGTCTAAGAAAACGAAAGTAAAATGACGACAACAATTATTTTATTCAAGTAAAATCACTGTTATATTGTCATTTTTTGTAATATTCAAATTCTTCAATATTTAGTCCTGTATTATCCTATTTTCAGACAAATTTTTGTTTTAAAACCGGCAGGGATGATGACATTATTGTTGGATCAAAATGCGCAAAATTCGTTCTTTCATTTTTTACACTATTATTATTGTTGGAGCACTGGTTATTCCCAAGTTTATTTTCAATATCGCAACTCACAATACGGTAACGAATTACTTTTTTGACATTCAGTTTTATCTTAATCTGATACTTCATTGCAGTGATTCAGTCTCTGTATGTTTTGCAATAGTTCACATTACGTCTTAATTTCTATGAGAGCAAAGAGTGGGCATAAGTAAACTTGAGATGCTACTGCTTGACTTTGGCAGGAAATTTACTTTTTTCATAGTTAACTACTCTAATAAACACCATGTTCGTTGTTCTGGAGTAACTTCTAGGAACTATAAATCATAGCATATTGAACTATGAAATGCTTAATAGCACATCAAACTATTTTTATTTTCTCTCCAGCAGCCATCACTGCAGCGCTAACTGCAAGTACTTCTCATTAGTTTGTTTCACTGCTTTGAAGTTAAAAGGACCCATACTTCGAAATTAAATAAAATTGAAAAGTTTCCAAGTTGAATTGAGTTCTATCAAGTTAGCTTCGAATGACAGTTTTCTTTTCATTTTAAAGCTACGTCATGTTTTTTTTTTTCTTTTTTTTTCATGACTGAAGCCATCACACAGGCATATATACAGAAGCTTTTTTTTTCATTTAGATTTCCGAATTTCCTTCTTTTTCCTATCACGAAGATTAAACTTTAGAGATACGATAAATTGCAATACCGTCGTCAAGTTTTAAATTTACGAGTTCGAAATGTGGCACGTCGTTTAGCGAATGATTTGCAACAAGTACGAAATGTTTTAAATCAAGGAGATCATTTAGAAACGGTCATTTTGGTAATTGCTTGTAATCGTTTTGAAGCGTTGAAAGAACATTTGGAAGCACTAAAAAAGTTTGTTGGTTTTTCTCAGTAATCTGAAAACGCGTTAATGTTTATGAAGGCGTAGGAAATAACACAGTAACCTCTTTCATTTCAAAAATCCGAAAACGTATAGTTTTTACAGAAACATTAACAACCATGTTGACATGACGGATACATATCTTTTTGCATGATATTTTTTTCTTTTTGATGGAAAGATTCATTCTTGTAGATACAATAAAAAAGGCGGGAAAGTATATATAATAATGTCTGGTGTCATATACATTTTCAGCTCTTGACTTCTAAAATTTACAGTATTCCTTGCGAATTCAGATTTTAATCTAAAATTAGTTAACTCAACATGTAATCACCATTTACATATTTTATAAAATAATAATACTGCGTGATTGAAATATTCCATACTAGAAATCATTATTTAGTTTTTGGACGTAATATCACTGATAGCCTTCAAGGAAACATTTGATGGTTTGCATAGCTATTTCCAATCAATAATACATGAAAACTAAACGCTGTTATAATGTTGGTAAAAGTGGTTTCTCATATTTTCAGTTTACAAGGACCCACGGTTCCGATTGTTGTTAGCCTTGATTGTAATGATGATGCAGTGCGTGATCTTATTCTCAGTTCTGGTCCAAATATTACTCTAATCGAAAATCCCAATCAATCTTCATTCAATTTAACCAAACGGGAAAAAAAGTATGAAGGTTATTATCGAATTGCGCGACATTATTATTTCGCCCTGGATTATGTCTTCACCATTCTAGGATATCAAAGTGCTATTATTACCGAAGGTTATATTTTTTTTCTTATTGTTTAAAAAGTTTTGATATAACTATTTGGAATTGATACTACCTTGGTAGTGTCAGCCTATAGGTCATTATTTTGTGATCGGAAACAGGATGTATGGATAAGTTAATAACTTTTAAATTTTTAGGACAAAAATTTCTCACGTGAGCGGATGATAGGGGGATGTTCTGATACATGGTAGGAATGTTGATTTTAGCAAAAAACTTTAGGATGCTGTTTTTCATTGCGGTTCTGAAGGCTTGTTGGTGAAACATAACCGAATTGAGTAATCTGACTCGGGAATAATCTTATCCAGTACTTGAAAACATTGTTCAAAATTTATATCTGTCCAGTTCATCAAATAATATCATTAATTATTTGTTCAGATGATTTGCTACTGGCTCCGGATTTTCTGGAATACATGCTGGCAAATAGAAAGTTATTGTTCGAAGATCCGACAATTTGGTGTATATCAGCGTGGAACGACAACGGAAAGAAAGAACTCATTGTAGAGGATAACTCTTTGTTGCATCGAACCGATTTCTTTCCAGGTTCTTTGCTATGTTCACAGAAGATTAGCAGTGTTAATTGTGGTGTTCAGGTATTGTGGAGTCTCCTTCCCGCACGATCTTTGTATTTCCTCAGCTATCGCTGGAGATATAGTAATACTCCATTATGCATTTAAGCAAACGAATTATTCAAAACCGAGAATCATCATTTTCTAATGATTGTTTTTGATATTTTGCTTTAAAATCAAAAAAATTTTCCAGGTCTTGGTTGGATGCTTACATCGCAACTGTGGGAGGAACTGAAAGTAAAATGGCCCAAAACATTTTGGGATGATTGGATGCGTGACCCAGCTCAACGTCAAGGACGAGCATGTATTAGGCCGGAAATATCACGTACGGGGATCAGTTTGAGAGGCAAGAAGGGTGTCAGCAAGTATGTGCTTTCCCATCTTGTATCTCTAGGTACTTTGAATTTGCCAAATTTTTATATTTCTTGATTTCCTTCAAAAACTGCAAGAATTTGACCTTTTTCATAAGTCATGCTAGACAATACTTAACTGTCAATTATAATTTCGAAAATTTATCAAAATGAGATTAGCGATAGGAGCAGAAGAAGGATTTTCTGAAGAAGGATTTTCTCGAGTTTATCCATCATGACAGTTAATGCTGCTAATGCATGGATGGTGACATGAAAGACACATATATTCTTTCATACGATAATTAATGATTTTATATTTTGTAGTTTGAACATCGTAGTTAGTAGTATTTGATAAGTAGAATTCTGTTCTTAGTGATTGAGATTTTTTTTCTGCATCGTACCATAAATTGTTTGGTTAAACTGATAAGAAAGGGATGAAATAGCTTCTGAAATTGATTCTTATTTATATGTCACTGATGTCTACTATGTACTTCCTAGTGATTTCAATGATTGCTATTTTCCAGTAATTTTCAGAGGCCTCTATTACGAGAAACACTTAAAACATATCGTGGTTAACACGGATTTCTATTATTTCTCGCAATCTGATTTGTCTTATTTAAAAAAAGACTACTATGATCCTGCCTTCCGCAAAATTGTTCTTGGGTAAGTGAAAATTTCATATTTCGATTGAGATTGAGTAGTGAGAGTGAACTATCGGCTAGTCGCTGTTGCTGTTAATCAGGTCAGGTATCCAGATTATTACCTGCAAAAGATTGAAATAAGCTTATCTTTTCAAACCTGTTCTTCGTTCGTTTCACTTAGTGATGAAGTGAGAGCCGGTCATTGAAAGAACAACGTTGACGAAGAAATGAGAAGTGGATAAATGCAATGATCTACTATAGGGATTACTTGTGATCATTTGATCAGGCGCGTTATATAGTAGTTAAACTTGTACGTTTTTTTATAGAGCGGTTCCTGCTACTTTGGATGAAATTCTGAAAGGAAGGTTTTCAAATGGTACTGTTTTGCCAGAAAAAGTGCGCTTGTTTTATGTGGCTTCAGTTGATTTTAAGGCTTTTGCCAGAAGATTCAGTGTAATGGATGATTTTCGGGTATGTTTAAAGAATTTTCGTGTTCTGTACAGATAAAGAGGCGAAAAAAAAAAAGTAAATTATAAATTAAAGAATATAAGGATAGATTCACTTGTGATTTGATTGGATTTTTTATATCTAGAAAGACCCTTTAGTTTATGAGCGATTGTGCATGAAAAGAAAGTGTTCTGTTTTTTTTTTCCTTGAACATCTGATTAGATGAAATGTAATAATTTTTAGTCAGGTGTATGTCGTACTTGCTATAATGGAGTGGTCTCATTTCGGTATGGCCAGCATCGCGTTTTTTTGTCTCCAAAGGAAATTCAGAACATCTGAAGGGCTTTTTTATGATTATTTGTCGGGTTTAATTGAAATGTTTGTTTTAATTTTCAAGTGCTGCCGTACTTGAAATACTGATTGTTTCAGTTTAACTTTTGAATATAATTTAGCTAAAATGTTGTGCTTAGATATGAGTACTACTTATCCCGTGTATTTTAGAATACTTGTTCAATTTAGAATTTTCTTGCCGGTGTTGTGTCGTGTCTGTGATTGTTTACTATGTAACAAAAAAGTTAACCTAATACTTAGCTGATTGTCCAGTTGTATTTGCTCCTTCGCAGTTGTATTTACAACATATTTGCTTGTTTTTTATATTTATTATATTTGCTTCATGAATTTCAGTTCATTTTTCTTTGGTTTTTGGATTTAATTTGATTCAGTATTTCAATTTGCCATCAATGTTTGATGCAAAGAATATCTTTACTAACTTACGGACTGTAAATTGTTTAGTTATCATAAAAACAAAGAAAGAAAAGTGGTGTCTAAAAACTATGGCATTAACAGTTTGGGATAATAGGTCTTTTCACTGGAAGAAAATGTTAAACAGCAGTAACGTTTTCAAAAGATTTCGACAATATCATTGTTAATCATCATTTCCCCAGTTGAACTATATGATATAGAGAGACAGATATTAAGTCAAATTTGAAAAAGTTTGAAGGTTAGAAAATAAGGTCATTAATTTATCAAAGGCTCATTTTCATTCTTCCATTTAGATTCTAAATACAGTACCTCCGGTGGCTTTAAATTATTGCTAAATATAAATTATATAAGCACGCAATCAATGCATTTGATCGATTATTTGTTAAGCTGTTTTTTTTTTTCTTTTTTTGTGGCTCTTTTTTAATTACGATGTCTCTCAATGTTATGTTATAATTCATTGAATTAATCTGTAATTTGAAAATACAGTAAAAATAGTTGATTTCTATTACAATAATTCATTTCTATGAATACTAAGAAAGGATGGAAAGCACCTGTTTGTGTATTTAATTAATAATTAAATTTATAAAATACCAGTTCAAAGTTATGTTGGATATAAAGATTTACTAGTCTCTGCTTTATTGATGTTACTCAAATGTACAGCAATGTTGGACTTTTTTTTTTAAAAAAAACAGAAAAGAAATATTAACTTTAAAAATCTAATCTGAATTGGAATTCTTTCCTTGGATTTGCTTCCTTTTTTTTTTTATTGTGGAACATTTTCTAAGGAAAGGTTTCATTTGATATGTAAGAATTTCAGAATTATCAAATTTAAATTGTGACGAAATGATATTTTAGTTTTGGTTTAAATTGAAATAATTATTTTTTAGAATAATAACAATCATTTCCATATATTTTGTTTTTTTTTCTTTTTTCCTTCCTATTTTCATATATTCTTTCGTATTTTTGTTCACTCTATCTGTGTGGTTCCAACTAAATCTCATCAAATTACATGCATCGTTGAAATTTTTCTAATTTTATCTCTTCCTTTTTTTTTCCTTAAAATACTCATACCTTGATGTTTTAGTCAACTTATTAAATGAATGAATAACATTTGAAATTGAAAAATTCCCTTTCAATATTTCTATCAATTCTGAATTAACATGAGAATCAATTCAGGATTACTAATATTAATTTAATGAATTAACTTCACATATATATTAGAGTGTATTGAAAAGATTCTTTCCTACATTTGAAATAATTTGGTAGAGAAAGATATGATGATGATTAATCGTTAATGTGAATTGATGCAAATTCCAACATCGTGTCGCATTCAGCATAAAAGTCAAAAGCGGAAAGATAAAATGAATGTGTTTGTCAGTGAGGAAATTGGAAATAACTTCATAGTAAGTTGAAATAAGTAAATTTGTTAGCTTTATAATTTTCGTTGTCTAATTTTTTTTAATTTGGTATTTTTAGTTAATTCATCGGGTCGATAAATGACTGTCTGCGTGACAATCGATTTTGTAGATGAACTTTCAACTTCAATTCACTGAAATTAAAAGGAAACTTTCTGTATATTTTCAAATACCTTCTGCATATTTTAAAATCAATTATTTTATTTATTTATTTATTTTTTAACATGAAAAAGAAATTATATTATTAAATAAGTTGCAGAATGAGCAGTAAAATTCCTGCATTTAACGTCGAATTCATTTTTCTGCTGCAATAATTTGAAGATTTTTCAAATGATTGGTTTTGTCAACATTGTTGTCACTACTGAAGAATGTTAAAGGTATAACAGATCTTATCAGAAGTATAGGGATGGATATTTGCGGAGATATTGTCATCTTAATCATACGTACTTAATACTTACATAATCATTTCATTTTAGGGATGATGGATGGAAGTAAGAAGTGCATTATAAGGAATAGTAAGAAGTAAGAGCTTATTTGAAAAATACTAAATTTCATTATGAAAAATAGTAAGAAGTGTTACTTATTTAAATTTTCAACTTTATAAAATACCATAATTTTTGACTTCATAATTTTTGTTGTGTAACATTCTTCAGTATTCTTACTTTTCGACGTTTTAAATAATTTTTTTTTTTTTTTTTTTTATACAGAAATAAAACAAGATCGTATACATCGTTTACAACATTCTTATTCATGAAGAAAGGTATAGGCTGGGAAAGAATATGTAAATATATGAAATAATTGATTGTATTTGCTATCATAAATTCATAAATATAGTACTGTATGCTGAATTTTTGTTTCATTTTTCACTCAAATCAGATATTTCCGTCAAAAAAAAAAAAAAAAAACTTTCCTACTTATTACTAGATTTGTTTGTTTTTTTTTTCCTACTTATTACTAGATTTGTTTGCAAAAAACTTTGACAAAAATTATACAAAATTGATATTCAATCAAAGCAATCAATAAAGACATCGGGGGTTTTTCTAAGGTTTTTGTTTTAATCCTGAAATTTTTTCATGCTATTTTTACTCTTTTGTCAAGTAGCATATTATAATTTTCTTTTTTTCTTCTTATCAAGTACCATATTATCAAAATTTCGTTATTATCATTATTTGCCAATCCTATTTCTTACCTAAATGATTCTTATTGTCTAGGTTTTTTTTTTTTTAATTTTACCTGTTTATAATTTAGAATTCATTAAAATACATTAAACGATATTTTCATAGCACACAGATTATCTTCTGTTTTACTCCTTATACTATAAAGCACATTTATTTAATTATGAATAATATCAGGGTTTTTTTTTTTCCTAAAAGAAAGTGTCCTTATAAGATTTCAACAATAAACAAATTACCACATTGTTGGGAAAGACATTTAATTACCGTAATTTAATGACATAGATATTTTTATTGGCTATATTAACGATTTGTTCTGATTGTTTAATATTTTTTGAAGTGGTTTCGAACAAGTGGTCACACATTTTTAAAATTTTTTTTTTTTCTGATGAAATTAGTAATACTTTCATTTGATTTTAAATTATCATTGAAAAGGAATACGTAGGATTTCTTGGATATAATTAATGTTTTTTAAGTTGACAAATATGTGTCAACATATTTTCTTTTTTAAAGCATATATCTAATGGAAACATTTCGTTAATTAGGAAATTAATTAACCAAAATAATGAGAGCTTCCGATAATCCGATAATGATAATGGTAATAATAATAATATTATTATTATTACTTTATTATCAGTGCAATTTAAATTTGGTATGTCTATTTGGAATTTGGATTTGGATTTGCCTCAATGTTATATACAAGAAAGTTTTGATGAAATTATCTGATATTTAAATCCTTTACTGTTCTCGAAATCATTTTTTTTTTTGCTCTTCGCTAAAATTCACTCATCAACAATTTTTATACAACTAAGAAAGGAATGCACACCTGATCATAATTTGAGCTAATAAAAATAATGATGAATGGAAGAAAAGATGAAATTGCATTTAACCTAACTTATCAATTTTTATAAAATTACTTGAAAATTTATTTAACTCAGAAATTATCAAATTAAATATGAATCATATTCTATTATTATTTTTCATTCCCTTCCAATGAAAAATTTTATTTTCATTGCATTTTATATTTATAGCAATTGGTACATT